CTACTACTACTACTACTACGCTCCCTCACTAGCTGTGATTGGATACAACACGTAATTTTCCATAACAAATCAGCTTTTTTCTTGAAAGTCTGTACAGTTTATTGAAACAACTAAGACTACGAAATAAATGCATGGCTTTCATTTCAGAAGATTTCTCGTTCAACAGCTCTAGTGAGTATTTGAATCAACAACCCAAGTCAAATATTTGCTCGGTTTGGCCACAGTTTTAAGACTATGAACCTTATCTGGCCATGCATTTTTTTCTGAAGCGGGCATTTTGAAAGAACTAACTTTTTGATTTTGCACATGTTCACTTGTCAGTGGCTAATTTGGCTTATAAAAAGTCGGCCTGGATTACCCCGGACAGTTCAAATCCACAAAAACGAAACCTTCCCGACTCATCTGGAATACAAGACTATCAGGGAGATGCCGCTCAGCAACCCGGGTCAAGCGATCAGCTGACCAGCGTTGTGTCATCCATCCACCGAGGCCGGTCACGTCCGCCAATGCTTGCTCATCACCGGATTGGTGAAAGTCAACATCAGGGAACTACATCAACCTTTTCTCGTTTACCGTTTTGGTCTGTTGGACCGAATGGACATAATGGTGCCACAATGCTCGGTGATACTGGGGATCCAATGGCTTCTCTAGCGGTGGACGGATGGACCGGTGAGGAGCTGGAACCGCGCAACTCCTCTTTGCGTATTCGTTCTTCCGAGCACTTGATGAATGACGATCCGCAACCAGAAAAGCCTAGTGGACTGATCGAGTCTGAGATTGAGCTTTCCCGAATGAAATCACGCCATGCATGTGTGGTGCTGGAATACAAGTGGCCGTTCGTAGAACTACCCTCATGGTATGTCGATCTTCGGGAACAGACTGAGGTCAATGGTGTCGTTATTTACACTGCTGGTCACGGGCGAGGTAAGAAATACCTTCAATTTTGTTTTACATACATGTATATGGACATACTTGTAATCCAAACCTGGTTATTTTATTCTGTTTGGCTATTTTTTGTTTCGCGATTTCAAAAAGATATCTAATAAAAAAATTAACAATAAATGTCCGAACTAACTTCGTTTTATAACTTTTGTTGACTTCTCCTTAAATCGCCTTACAATAACTTGATTTAGTTCTATTTCAAGCATTCTGTTCAATCTGGGTTAATTGCTCATTGGTTGTTCCAGGAGAACTTAGTAGAGACCGTTACTCAGAACGGTAAAACATTCTCAGTTTTTCACTACGATCTTTCTATTCGGCTATCAGAGAGCAAGATAGTATCAGTCATCCATTTATGATTCACTCAGAATCAAGTTACGCAGCCGGAGCTTGACTGAAGTCAATCAATCATGCATTTCTGGCTATATTTAATTAGTAACTTCTAATAGGTAGTATAGGAATAACTGGACGAAACTTCCTAAAAGTTCAAAATACTTTTCGTGGTTTAACATGCTTATGAGACATGTGTACACACCACTGCTTTATTTTCTGTTTGTATTTTTATTACTTATTTCATACTCTCGCTTTCTATCCTTGCATACATGAGGGTACAACTCATTTTTCATAATCAAAGAGCTAGCATGTAGTAAAATAAGTGAGAAATTAAAGTGACAGCCGTGGGTTAATAACACGCCATAAATCGATGATTTTTCTTGAAAGTCCTGCTGCATGCATGAGTCTTATGTGCTGCGTACATGCTCCACTCATGACCTCGATGATGACTCGTTGTTGACCAATACTAAGTGCTATCCTCTTTTGCTTATCGATCCTTGCTTGCTTATCGCTAAATCGATTCATTTTACCCTTGCTGCTTGTTTGAACTCCTCACTGAAAAAGAAGTGTGAAGGTTTTTACAGTTGCAGCAACATAAATAACCGCTTCAAGCGGAAGCATTGACCCGGTTTTCCGCAATATATATATATATATACCCGTATATTTTTCCGCTATGGCTTGCTTCAGTTAAATAATGCGTTTATTTCGGCCCAGCTGCATTCTCACTATCTTAATGTGTTCGTATCGATATAGGCGCTACCCGAGGACGGGTCATAACAGGATTCTTATGATCCGGTTACCACCACTTGACCATCTTCATCGAACATCGACCCTGGTGTCAAGCTCATTAAGGTCAGATATATCTTGCCTGATCAAGTTATCACAAAATCACCTTGATGATCATTTGATATTAATGATGAAATGGGGCTCAGGTAATTGGCGTGTCACAAGCATCACATATTAGTTCATCCTGGTTGTGGCTAATACCTCAGCATTGCATGGTGGCTTCCACCTGGATACGATTTTGTTGTGCTCTACTAGTCAGTAGACGTTTCTTGTTTCTTGACACCACTATACTCCCGTTATCGAATATTCAACGCCATTAGTTGTATAAAATCCAGCTTTTTTATACACATCGTATTAGCTAGCAATTGTGACTTAACAGGGATTATCGCCTACCCAGAACATGTCTTTGATGAACCGAACCAGTAGGACGATAGCCCTGATCTGCATCGAATCATACGATGAGAAGAATTCCGGTTGAATCGCAAATTACCAACTTTCAATTGTGTGTTTTGGCAAGGCAAAAGATTTTTGTGAAGTCTAGTTAGTTCTTTCATGAAACTGCGTAATAAGTCATTGTATTTTACGGGGTCAGCGTCAGTACCATTGGATTAACCGTGTTCTGTCCCAATCTTCAGTTGTTTTATTTGAACGAACGAATTTTCTTTACCTCGCTCTTGTTGTTTCCACTATTCTACCGACTACGTCACTTGTGATTGCTTCGTTTCTATTCTGTTTACTTAATTGGTTTTTCCTCAGTGTTTTGCTTTTATTCATCATCATCACCATCATCATCAATAACAACAACAACAACAACAACAACAACAACCCGGTGTTCAGTTGTGACCATGGCAATACGTAAACTGGATTTATTCACGGCTTTTTCTCAGTTACCAAAGTGGCACTGTTAACTAAGCTCTAACGTAATGTTGATTAGTAATTCCGTCATAACTTCCTCTGTAACAATATCTCATTTGAGCTTGATGACAATAAACAAACAAGAAAATCAAGGCCGCATGATGTCAAGCTAACATGTGAGTATTTTCTTACACCGTTGTATAAAAAATAATCATAATATTTTAACTAATTCTGTTTTATTCAGATCGGTCAACAAGAATCAAAACTCTCAACTGAATATTTCACACTTTCAGCTCATTGTTCGAGGTATTTTTCATGACGTGGTCAGTCCCAGTATATACATGTGCCATTCTCACCCGGAAAACGTCCACTTAATTTATGCACAGCTGTCTAACTTAGCAGCTTGTTTCTTCAATCGGTAACCCAATCCTGATCCATTTCTGTTGAACACCAAATATTTCCAGCAGCGAACTCAAATATTCAATGGGCACCATCCCTAACACCTCAACACAGTAGCCAACTCAAATCGGACAACTTGGAACGTTTATCGGTCTATGTGGAATCCGAACCGCGAAATCATCGATCCACTCTGTCCAGTACTTCAACATCAAGTTTATGCGGATTTGTTACTCGATTGAATGATGCCATATTCAATCCCCGACTCCATATTCCGTGTAGACAACCACTGACCGGGCGTTTCGTCTATGTGGAGGCTCGTGGAGTGCGTGGAAGATGGTCACAAGAATTCTCTGCAATGTTGTGTGAAGTCATGGTCTATTAGACATTTGCTTCTCTATTATTATTCAACTGAGTACACAAATGCATTAAAGATCGTAAACAAACAGTCACACTCAAGCAAAATTTTCTTCATCCGAAACGATTTGCTCTGAAGCAAAAAACTGTAATACTCAATGAATCAAATGAAGGGGATACAATTTGTTGAATTTCTATGACTTTTACCATTTTGTTTATCTTCTTTCAACTCATACTTGTTTTGCCCACCCCATCTCACCCAATCATCATCACCTGTGTCTCTCTTTGTGTGTGTGCGTGTTCTCCTGTCTAATAGATTGTTATACTTCATATCTGGCCAGTCCCAAATTTTATTATTTCACAGACTCGATCGGAAATGTGTGTACATACGAATCTGATGCATGTGGTATTCTTTTGCATCGTGAACACCCGTCTTTTCATTTCAGTCCTTCATTTATTCACTCATGTCTATAGTAATACCCAATATGAATATAACCCACCATACTAGTACAAACACGACCATTATTACTACTAATACTACTGTAAACGATAAATACAGTGCTTTTATTTCTCGAACATAGTACAATGTACTCAGTCAGTTGGTCAGTCAGTCGCTGAACAATCAATCCCTCGGGGGCTTGTTCCATATGTTCTCTTCAACGCTCTTTTCAAGCAAAAGACGCGACCAAGGACACAGCAAGACACTTTTCCGTAAATTTCTTCTCGTTGCAGTTTGCTCTTCATCCAGTCTAAAATATGCTACATGTTACACTATTAGATACGGTCAATTTAAGTGTTTTTCTAATGAATACCTGTTGTACTCGATACAGCGGTTGACTTATATGTGATTGGCAAATGGACTGTCAATCATTAATCGGAAAGGACAGGAGCAAAACAATATCACCTTCTGTTTCTACTTTTGGATATATTTGTACAGTTCTCGTCCAGTAGGTCCAAGGCATATAATGCTGGTGTTGAGGCAGTGCTCCACACAGCGCATAACTCCAAGCCCTACCAGTGATATGAATGGCAAAACATCAATAATAACTTGAATACACGATAAATTTCATCGAATACAGAGCATAGGGAACTGAAAATAAGGGAAACCTGGAAAGCACTGAGCAGTTGTTTCGCACATGTCAATTCTCTTCAGCAGTAGGAGATACTACAATGTAAGCTTTACCGCGCATCATCGTATCGAATCAATTTGGCACAATTCCAAGCTTTTCTTATCGTTGTTCGATGATGCACGAAGAAGAAAAGGGCTGAAATGATTTTGTCATCCGTGCATGTACACAATGAAACTCGTATGTATGAAGCCTACGAAAAATAAGTTGTTTCTGTAATAATACCATTTGAGTACATGCAAACATGCATACACACGCAATTGCTACAAGTAATTTCACAATGCTCCATTAAAACCAATCCAGGGAAAGTTCGGTTGCAAATCTGGTTTGCTCTTATTTTCTACCTTTCCCGTCTCTATAGTTACGGCAAAACACAATCCCACAGGCGTAATTTAATTCGAATGATCATAGACTTGCTAATAAACCCAAGTCATTAGTTAACATTCAAACTTGTGAAAATCGCTTTCCGAAACTGACTACTTCGATGATTGTCAGTAGGCATTTTAAATACAGTCTACTGTGGTGACTATCGCAGAAGTGAATTGCACGGATTTCATTCCTAATTCACTGGTAAACTTATCGTCATCAAAATATATAGTGAGCCAAGTAAGACAGTTTTATTGAGTCAACACGTTCAGACGAAATTGATTCCTCAAAATCCGACATCCAGTTCAATAACGTTGTCACCAGAGCAGCCGGATTTTCCGTACCTGCTAGAACGAACAAACAGTCGTTTAATAATGTTTTCTAATAATCCCTCTCATTGCCCGATAAATTACTCCCTCAGTTTAATGTTCGACAAAAGTCTTCCGGTATGTAATGTGTCACAGGAAACAATAACTGAGAAATGAAAATAGAAGGAATCTATTGAGAAATGGACAAAATTGTGAAGATGGTGTTACATGGTGTTATCTTTCCAGAAGACAGTGTCTGGAATAGGAGGATTCTGTAACACCGACAACAATAAAGGTGTCGGTAAACTGGCGTACATACAACATAACGTTTCATATAGAACATGCCGCAATAATTAGCAAAAGCACACAGGATTATCAATTGAACTGTCCGATGGTAGATGCGTATTTTCAGCAGTTCTGATTTTGAAGATAGTATTTCACTCTAGGAGGTCTTGTTCATTTTTGACCGTTGTGAGTAACCTTCAGTCGCATCCTTTTGTGCACTCTAGCCATTCTACTCACAAATATGAGCAGTGATTCACAACAATGGTATCGAACAGAGTGCTTAAAGGTACGACTGTAATACGTACATTGCAACATCCTAGAACTAGGAGTCCATAATTTCGTCCGAGGTAAGCCACATCCAATCTGTCAATTCGGCTTCATTTTTTTGGCTTTTCAGTGTTACTAGATGCGAATTAAACTAGGACCTGAAAGTAAAAGGTTATGTCAAAGATCCCGTATCAGAAACAGGCCACAGAGAGGGGGTACCGTAAACTGGTTAGCATCGCTCCATTGAATCAGCGATCTCAAACAACCCATGGTGATCTTCAGGACGATGGCGCATTTTTATTAACCTCGTGATTTCTTTACAGTAAAGAGACATAAAAACGTCTTCAAAAAGAACCTTGACTTGCGTGAATTTGATTGACTGATACATAAGAGAATTATTTTTCACTCTAAGTAAGTTCATATTCATTCAGTAAAACTTTCATCGATCATAAATGTTTCATCTCCTTTAGTTCCCCTTCGCAAAACGGTTACAACGGTTATTCCTATTCTCCAGGTTTTTCTCTGCTTCAGAAATTAATAAAGCGGAATGTCTTCAAGTATTTCAGTAAACGTCAAAGTATAGCAGGTCTTTGACGTCTAAGAGTAGTTAGAGACGACATCAGCCATCGTGTTGGATCTTTAGCCTTGGACTAAAGGGACATAACTTTTGTTGGCTAATCATAAACATGAATGAAGAACATATATCATCATCTCTGTTACAACTGAGAGGGAAACAGTATGCTACGTGAAAACTGCTTTGCTCTGAGACAACCAATCAGAACAAGGATAGCCGACCTCAGCTGATTGGTCAGTACCGTTAACTAATCAAGACGACTGGCAATGAACCAATGGCCAGTTGTTGGTTATACGTATTACAATGTCCTCTCTCTTCTCTATAAAAGCCATGATTTTTGCATAATAAACGAATTCCTCCACGCTTCCAGTTGTACTCTATTTCACTGCGTATGAAGTTCCGATCTGAACAAAAATCTTTACCGGAAGATGATTCTTAAGAATTCAGTTTCGGGATAATCCGGTGCGGTTACAACAATAACAACATGCTTTACTTCGGCCCAATTTAGCCACTTCAAGTCGTCAAGTACGAATAACAATGGGAAATCTCCCCTAATATCCCCATTACGGTATGCTTCATTGGGCTGACTAGATGTTGACACAAGTCTAGTACTGCTACACGGCTCTGTTGAGTTTCACTTTTAATAAGTAAATAAATTTGTCCATGCAACTTGTCCATTGGCCACGGATACCACGGCGGTCAGGCGCAAAGGACTCCTGTTAAAGAAGAATCTCAAATGGAAGAGCAGGGTAACACTTAAATTTCCGTTTTTCAAAGCTACCACTGATTACTTTTTGCTTCATTCATTAGAACTTGGAGATCGGTCAACAAAAACTAAAAGCTGTTTTACTTGTCCACATTAGAGTCTCAGTTAATGATCCTCATAGGTGTAAAATAGGAAGATTATATGATGAAGGAATAATCTGATTTTCTGTTCGAATATCATCAAGTCCTGCTGCTTATTCAGACACACCAACTTGGTATCACTCACAAGTGGAAATGGTTCGTTGATCAAGTTGATGAATCAGAAATTTCATCATCAACCACAATCACTGTAACAACAGGATTGATAAATTCGTTCTATGGTAAGAACTTGATGGTATGTTTCCATATATCGATTGTTTCAAGATTGATAAAATTTAGTTTGCATATAAGTAAAATCGGAAACAGAATAAAATATTTCAGAAAAGTCCGTTTTATTTATCATAACGTACGGGTCAATCAATGACATTCAACCCAAATGCAACAGAAGTTAGCTTCTATTTTGCCGGTTCGTCGAGCTTGGCAATTTGTTTGCAAACGTTTCATCACCAGCCGAGGTGACATCATCAATGCTCGTGAAGTGTTGATGAAACATTTGCAAACAAATTGCCAAGCTCGGTGAACAGGCGAAATAGAATTCAGTTCACTCGAGCTATGAGAACCGATTTTCAATACTCAGAAGTCAGAAGTTAGCTTATTGTTTATGAATAAAAGATTTCAGCGAATAATCTAATTATATAATTCACCACCTACAATGAGAAACACTTCCCACTGACCGATAAAACCCTTCTACTTGCTTTCAGGTCAGCGCTGATTGACATTTTTCTGCAGGTTTGTATCAGTTGTTCTCATTTGTTACAATTTTTTTTAACAGAGACCGGTTTTGAAACGTTTTGTTTGTAAACAGCAGTAACATTCTCCTTACGCGCTCCACAAATTATTTTTCATATTACGTGGGGATGTGCCTGAAAAGTAATAAGTCATTCCGAAGGATTTCCGAATAAAATCTGCCCTATAGGCTTTCCATCGTTGTGATTCAGTTGGTGCACACAACGATACCTCAGTGAAAGAGTTTACTGGTGCCCCATTGCTGTTTTCTTCGGGGGAGTGGTGTTATACGGCTTGACGAAAGTTCTGTTGTTTTACTGGGCGTCCAGAAGACAACTCGACCCGGGGTCAGTTTGGACTAGGCCAAACATTTGTCCAATCAAAGCAAAGAAAAAACTCGCGAAATTTGTTTTGCAACTTTTGTTCACATAATATTTCAAAAAATTGAAACTGCTCCTCAAATCGCCGAATTAAGGTGATATTTCGTTTTCTAATGAGTTTGAATAGAACG